CCAGAGTCCTATTCCCTCGAACCAAACGGACTCTAAGGCACTATGAATAGCATGAAATGGTCAAATACACTGACTTGTCGTTGTTTTCTTTTTAATTCTTGGTGATTAGTGATTGACTGACTAAATATCCATCCCAATTAATTGACTTGACTCAAGGAAACCAACAATCCTATAAAGTAGAAACGTCTACAAAAGACTTGACCAAGCAACCGGGCCGCCGCCAATGAGGACTTCCAGTCTTCCACCTTCAAAGTTCGTCTCTCTGGCTCAGCTGCTCAACAACTGGAATATCAACCCCCTCTCGATCGGCTCTCCCCTCCCAATTAGTTAAATGTGACCAAGGAGGAATTCTTCTTCTTGCAATTGCACTGAGACTCTGAGAGAGGAGACAGCTGGCTCTTTAGTTCCTTGCAGTCTCGTCCATGGCTAACTATGGAACCATCCATAGGCTATCCAAAACTTCTTCCTCCATAGATCATGCTCAAGTGAAGGTAGATGATTTGAGTCGCAAGGCCCCAAAAGAACTTGTGCTTCTCCGGTACATGGCCATCCCCTCTAGCCCAGAAGCAGCAGCAGTTCGAATCATCAGAAACTTAGGCTACTTCTGGGTTTATTACACTCTCATCATCTGGGTCATACTCTTGGTGAGCCTAGTGCCAAGACGTCGACTGTCTTTGATCTTCCTGGTGGTGATGACAGTAGTGACATGCTTCTACCTTCTCTTGTTGCGAGCATTCCCCAGTTCAATAATCCTGCACAATAAGTTCATTGACAGGCGACTGGTTTTGGCCTTAATAGCCATCATCACCGTGGTTGAGCTTATCCTTACACGCGCTGCCATTCACCTTCTTGTGTCTCTTGCCATCGGAATTCCCATTATTCTTGTTCATGCAGTATTACGGGTTGGTGATGATCTTTTTGTGAGTGAAGAGGCTTCTGCAGGAGGGGAGTTGGTTCCGCTGCTGTCCAGGACAGCTCCTCCTGATCATGACTGTGATTTGCCAGCTTAGTTCAGTCTGAAAAGAAAAGTACTACAGTGGTTCTAATTTTAGATTGGGGAGTCTTATTATATGCATGAAAAGAAATATATATATTCACAATCAATGATCAGTTTGAAATATATAATGGAGAAGATCATTAAAGTGTAGTCTCAATTTTGAAATATGTTGTGTATTACAAAATTATTTTTTATTTTTATTTCTTCTCATGTTTCATTATCAAAAGAAAATGGAATTTCTGAATCTAAGTTCTCTGGTTATACATGAATTCTTTCCCCTTCTGTTACTCGGGCTCTTCTGTTTGCAGTGCAAAATCTGGATGGAATACAAAATTCATCGCACCCGGTTTGGTTTTGCATCCATTTGTTTYCAATTGTGATTTGCACTCCTATCTGATACAAAAGCTTGTACTTTTGTCTCATTTGCACTCATTGGTACCTTAATGCAAATTTTATATCTCAAAAACTTGTGTAAAATTTGCACTACCTTCCTTTTATCTCACTTCTCTCTCATATAGAGATGGCAATTTCATCTGTTCCCGTGGGGCCCATCTCACCCTTCCCCGATAGGGGCGGGCTTTTTTTACCATTGTTTGGTGTTCAGGGAAAATCTGAAACTCTAGGATCGGGGACAGGGCAAGGATGGTATTTGTCCACCTTGCCCGGACTATATATATATATAATAGTTTTAGGTATACTAAAAAAATAAAAATAAATAAATTAATAAGTATACAAGTGAGAATGACAGGAGCAAGATGGGCCAAAGTCAGGGATCCCCTGTTCCCCGGGGATAGGGATGGGGTTAAGATTTTTAGCCCCGCCAAGGTTCGGGGCTGAAAATTTGAATTCTGRGTCGGATACGGGGCAGGCAAAACCTGGCCCTGCTCTGCCCATTGCCATTCCTACTCATAAAGTAGGGGCTACATCATCTTGCCACAGAGGCCACTTCCAAACCAATTAAATAATCTTGCACCCACCTTTATTGTCCGTGGAAATCACATCATTAATTTTACTTCTCACAGTCAAATCTAGAGCAAAATAAACCAAAATTTACACTCAATCTATTTGTCTTATTATGCATTTACACCAAT